CAGAAGGGGGCCAGCTCTGTGGTAAGTGGGGTGGTGGATATGAACAGCTTCAGCCAGGTAGAAAAGATGACCCAGGGCCATGAGCTCACTACTCTGAAGGACAGTAGCTGCTCATGCATATAACTCAGCAATCTTTGTTTTTGTTTTGTTTTGTTTTGAGACAGGGTTCACTATGTAGTCCAGGCTGGCCTTGAACTCTTGGTAATCTTCTGGTCTCAGCCCCCTGCGTACTAGGATTACAGGTGTGCGCCACCAGGCCCAGCCTATTATACATTTTGGTCCTTATTTACACTTTTGGTTTCTCACATCAGAGAAACAATGCGATATTTAAACATGTGTGCCCAATTTATTTCACTTCAGAGTATGGTTTCAAGATGCAACCATTTAGTTAGAAGTATCTCAAGCTTATTCTTCATGTCAGAGTAGTACTCCATTGTATAAAAACTCCACATCTTCTTTATCCATTCATTCATTGATAGGCATTTGGGCTTTTCCAAAATTCAGATATTACAAACTGTGCTGCTATAAACATGAGTGTTCATATATCACTGTAGTATGATGCTGTAGTATGAAGGGGAATAGCTGGTTGTCGCCTTATTTATTTAGAAATACCTAGGAGCACAGACACTTTCCTGTCAAATTCAAATGATGAACCACACCTGCCTTGCAAGCGCAAGGTCCTGAATTCAATCCCTGATACAAAAAAAAAAATTTAAATGATGAAAGTCCCTCCAACTATATAACCTTCCATCTTCAAGTTGACTACTGTTAGCTTGATACACAGACATAAATGAAGCATACACACATGCACACACACACATACATCGATATATTAAATAACAGAGCCAGGTATGGTGGTGCACACCTGTAATCCCAGCACTCTGGAAGTCTGAGGCAGGAGGATCTCAAGTTCACACCCAGCCTTGGCAGCTTAGTGACTCAGAGAGACCCTGTCTCAAAATGAAAAAAAAAAAAAATTTTTTTTGGTACTGGGGATTGAACTTGGGACCTTGCACTTGCAAGGCAGGCGGAATGAGAAAAATTTTTTAAAGGGTTGGGGGTATAGCTCAGTGTGACTGTCCAGGGTTCAATCCCCAGCACCACCAAAACAAAATGCTTGTGTATGTATGTGTATATACATACTGTATACATATAACATGCATATGTTTACACACATGCATAACCCAGTCAAACATAAGTATATACATAATAGAAATATATTATCATTATAGTGATTAAAGGATTTTTCTTTTATAAAAGATACTGGAGGTAATTGTTTTATAGCCTCCTTTTTTTTTTCTATGCAAAAAAGGGTTGGAGGGGCCCGGGATTTAGCTCAGTGATTCTGCTGCCTGCCTCAAAAGCACAAGGTCCAGAGTTCGATCCCTGGTACCAAAAAAAAAAAAAAAGGGTTGGAGAGCTGGGCATGGTGGTGCATCCCTGTAATCCCAGCACTTGGGAGGCTGAGGTAGGAAAAGCACTGTGAGTTCTAGGCCAGCCTGAACTACACAGTGAGACCTTGTCTCAAAAAACCAAAATAGGGCTGGGGATTTAGTGGTTTTGCCGCCTGCTGCGAAAGCGCAAGGACCTGAGTTTGATCCCCGGTACCAAAAAAACCCAACAACAAAAAAACACACCAAAATAATAAATAAATAAAATAAAATGGAATGTTGTTTTAAATAGTCTTATATTTATAACCTTGTAACACTGGTAAATTTTTATGAACAGTCTCACACACACACGCACACACACACACACACACACACACACACACTCCCCAAGCAACAGCACTGTTTTTCTCCAGCCCTTCTCTACTTTCTTGAGCCTATTTCTGGAAGCTGCTTGGGGTTGACATCTGCTTCCCCGCAGGGAGACAAGCATGTCTATAAATAGCTCCAATGCGTCAGGGAGTTTGGAAAGCGTCATGACTGAGGCACCCAGTGAGCTGGGAACCGGCATCAGGGAGGTAGGTAGTCACGAGCTGAGGTGGCTTGTGACAGGAGGGGCACTTTAATGAGCTCTGGAAGGAAAGATGAACTGGTGGAGAAGTTGGACAGGACATCGTAGCAGGACACTTGGCTGGAAGTCGGATTGTCTTTCTAAACAGCAGAGGATGAGACTGAGAACCAGAGAGAGGCCTGCAAGGCCGGTGCCCTGGCCTGAGCCTCACGGCAAGCCAGGTTCTAGCAAGCCTGTGGCAGGGTTCAGGCTGTGACCTTGGCTGTCCCTCAGGGTGAGGGTCACGGAGGAAGCCCTCTGTGCTGCCCTGAGGGGAGATCGGTGCCCTGCAAAGTCTTCCCAGCTTTCCAGGACTGGCAGCATGCCCATGCAGGAGTTGCTGGGACTGGTGCTGTGGTATCCCCACCCCTGCCAGGCCAGCAGTCCAGCTCTCTGCTGTCACCACCAGCCACTTGTGAGAGCTGGTGGCATATTCTGTCCTTCACCCATCTCCTAAATTGGCAAATAAATATCTAGGAGCTGGGATAAATGGGGCATGGTGGCACACACCTGTAATCCCAGGTCTCTGGAGGCAGAGGCGGAGGATCAGGAGTTCAAATCCAGCCTGGACTGTATAAGGAGTTCAAGGCCAGCATAGTCAAAAACAAAAGGAAACAAAACAAAACAAGAAGCCAGAACACTGGGAGTTTCAGGTGCTGCCCAGCTCTGGTTTAGGGGCTCCTTTAGGGAGTGCGCACTGCCCTCTAAGGAGCGAGTGTGGTGGTGCAGCGGGGCAGAGTGGGGATCACGCCTGCTCCAGGACGGGGCCTGAGTCCTGGGGAGCCAGATCAGCACATTTGGCCCGGTGTGGGGTGGGGGAGGCTCAGGACAGCCGGGCCTGCTACAGGAGGAGATAAGAGAAGCAGGTCTGGATTCACATTTCCTGCCTGTCACAGCCAAGCCAGGTTTATTTATTTTTTTTTCTTTTATCCAGGGAGCATTTATTAAATGCATACATTAGGTGATTTTGGGGGGATTTTTTGGTATGGGGGATCAAACTCTGGTCCTTGCACTTGGGCAGCAGGTGGCAAAACCACTGAGCTAAATCCCCGGCCCTACATTAGGTGATTTTAATCAGGGGATAAAATGGTCAGTTTTTTCTTTCTTGTTCTTTTTTAATTCATCTGATTGTTGATGGAGATCGGATCAGAGGGAACTAGAGAAGCATGGTGGCCACAGTCCAGGAGGATGGTATGAGGGTCCAGAGCTAACAACAGCGGTGCCAGTGCCTTCTCCTTCTCCTTCTCCTTCTCCTTCTTCTCTCTTCTTCTTCCTCTTCTCCTTCTCTTTCTCTTCCTCCTCCTCCTTCCCTTTCCCCTTCCTCTTCTTCTCCTTCCTCTTCCTCTTCCTCTCCTTTTCCTTCTCCTTCTTCATCTTCATTTTCTTCTTTGTCTTCTCCTTGAGACTGGGTCTCACTATATAGTTCAAGCTGGCCTTGAACTCACTATGTAGCCCAGGCTAGCCTCAAACTTGCAGCAATCCTCCTGCCTCAGCCTTACAAGTGCTGGGATTACAGGTGTACGTGGTGTACCACCATGGTGTCTTCTTGACAAAACACAGACATGGTCATCTCGCCATTTTTCATGGCTTCCCGCTGTCTTCAGAATGAGAGGGCCGTCTCGGCACTGGTCCAGGTCCTTCATGATTTTGTCCACAACCAGAGGATCTTTTTGATTTTCCAAAAACCCAGGGAACTCCTTTTCCATGAGTACTCACAGGTCCTCCTTTGTTAAGTAGCCTATGTCGCTGGCAAATTTATGAAATGTAAACATCATGATTTCCATGGCGTGTTCCATTTGGGATGGCATTTTGGTGAAGTCTGTCAAAACCGGGGCTCTCGAGATGCAGGCAGCGGGTGGGCGGCAGCCAAGGTCATTCTTCTTTACAGCACAGTAATACTCCATTGTATATATATATAAAAAAACACCCCACATCTTCTTTATCCATTCATTGGTTGATGGGCATTTGGACTGTTTCCAAGATTTAGCTTTGCAAACTTCACCACTATAAACATAAGTGTGCTATATCACTATGGTATGATGCTCTTAATTCTTTTGGGAAGATACCAAGAAGGGGAATAGCTGGGTCAAATGGAACCTCCAGTTTTAGTTCTTTGAGGTATCGCCATACTGATTTTCACAGTGGTTGCACCAATCTACATTCCCACCAACAATGGAGAAGGATTCCTTTCTCTCCACACCCCCACCAGCATTTGTTATTTGTTGATTTCTTGATAGCAGCCAATCTTTGTGGGGTGAGGTGGAATCTCAGTGTTGTTTTCATCTGCATCTCTCAGATGACCAGTGATATTGAACATTTTTTCATATATTTATTTGCTGCTTTTTCTTCTTTGTCTGAGAAATGTATTTTCTTTTCAGATGCCCATTTTTGAATTGGGTCTTTGAATTCCCCTTTGAATGATAATAAATTAAGGTAAGTTTTTGTCCTTTTTTTAAAGAACAAAATTCTCATCTAGCAAAAGCCCAGCCAGACCAAACTGCTCACTGGCTCTACACTATCCCCATCCCACCTCCATGTCAGGATGTTCCTTTTACCTCACAAGTCCTTCCCCGTCTCAGGAACACCTACTCATCCTTCAGGGCTTGGCTCCATCTTCACCTCCTCTGTGAAGCCCTCAGTCAGAATCTAGGTACTCAGCCCTCCTCTAGGCCCTTGCTGCATCCTTTTGTAACATTCCACCAAGATCATCTATGCCTGCCCATCTCTATATTGATGAGTAAGCCCACAGCAGGCTCAAGGAATGTACTGAGAGGGCCACCTTGACAGCGCCAAATATCTTCTTTTGTTTGTCTGTCTGTTTTTTTGATACAAGGTCTTGTTATGTAATTTCTTTTTTTCTTTTCTTTTCTTTTTTTGTTTTTTGGTACCCAGGATTGAACTCGGGACCTTGCCCTTGTGAGGTAGACGGCAGCATCACTGAGCTAAATTCCCCGGCCCGATGCTATGTAGTTCATACTGGCCTTGAACTAGCTATGTAGCCCAAGCTGGTCTCAAATTCCTGGGCATCCTCCTGCCTCAGCCTCTTGAGTGCTGGGGTTACAAGCATGCGGACCATCACACTGGGCTTCTAAATATCTTTTTTTTTTTTTTTTTTTGGTACCTGGGATCGAACTTGTGAGGTATTCGGCAGAACCACCAAGCTAAATCCCCGGCCCTTCTAAATATCTTTTGTGTCCTCTAACACCTCATCATCCCAGGTAAGGTCCCTGTATATTAAGTTTTAAACTTCAGAATATGACAAAAAACATTGTTTTCCCAGTGTATATTAGTCAATGACTTGAATCCTGCCAATCAAGGAAAAGATAAAAAGAATCTTTTGATGAGAATCACCTGTAAGGTTTGTTTTGTCCTCCCACTCTCACTAGAGCCTCAGGATAACACTCTGAGGTATTACTACAGATTAGATAGATAAATGAGGTTCAGAAGAGTTGTGACCTGCCCAAAGTCACACAGGTAGCTAGAGCCAGAATTGGATTCAAACCCTGAGGAGTCTGACTCAAGGTCCCAGCTATGCTGTTATCACTCGCTCTTATCATATCATGATCCTGAGGGATCTGGAGCTGGTCTCAGCCATCACAGAGCACTGGGCTCCCAAAGATGCTTTTTGTACAGCTGGATTCAAAGAAAGCCTAAGGGAGGAGCAGGCCTCCAGCAAGTACCTAGGGCAGGTTCTCTTCCTGTCCAGTTTACCCAGATTCTTTCTGCTAGGAGACGGTCAAGATAGGGCTTCTTGCAGAATGTGGCATGAACATGAAGAGGGCAGAGTTCTGGCCAGCCAGAAAGGAAGAGGGCATCAGTCTCCACCCTGTCCTCTAAGGCCAGGCTCTGAGTTCTTGCCCAAGGAACACTAAGCTGATATAAAAAGCCTCAAGGCCACCTGTAGCTTGATCAAACCACTAGGGCTTCCTCAGTGCTGTACTATGGCCTCAGATGGTATGGCTTTTTGAGCCAAGGCTGATGTCGTCCGGCCTCTCTGCTCTGGCATTCTCACAGCTCTTCTGCAATCTGAGAAGCGCTTTCTTTCTTCTGGGAAAAAGGACCTTGAACTTGGGAGAGTCTAGGATGAGAAGACTCCGACACATTGGTTGGTGATGGGCTGATAGGGGCAGGACCAGCTGCCCCAAGAACTCTGGGCACTCTACAAGCCCCCCAGTCCCTTGAGAGCTGAAGCTCAGAAGTCAGGTGCATCATTCAGTCCTGCAGTGGTGGCCTCCCTTTGGAGCGGTTCATAGCCTCATGAGATCAGATGGGTTAGTCTTTGAGTCTCTCCTGCCCAATAGTTGCCCAACCAATTTCCAAGCCTCAAGAGACTTCAAGCACCCTCAGGAACTTTCTCCCCAAAGAACCTCTCTTGGGAACCTCAAGGGTCCTTCCTTCATATTTTCTGCTCTTCTCCTCCCCATAAAGCAAACGAAGGAACAAGATCAGGAACAGGCTGTGGCCTCCCCATCATATCAGGTCTTCCAGGAAACCCTTTCAGGTCTGTTTTTTCTTATCCCCTAGTAAGACAGGCCCAGGGCTGAGGATATACCTGGTTGCATAGGTTTGGAGGTCATGCATGAGGTTCTGGGTACCAGCCCCAACACAAGCAAAGCAAACAGAAAGACGTGACTAAACTCCTTTATTTCCTTTCTTAAAGTCAGCTAGAAATGTCAGCTTTCCCATAATGAGTGTGATTATTATGTACTGCAAATATGTACTAATAAAAATTAATAAAAAGGAAATAACTGAGTTGGTAGAAATGAAAAAAAAAAAAGGAAACAATGTCAGCCATGTGCACTAACTAGGTCTAGTGTAGATCTACTAGAGCTTCTTAGGTTTCACGTGAACCCCTCACTCCACCCTGAAAGGACCTGGGCAAAAGACACATATATAGGATGTAACCGAAAAACCCCAATGTGGCCTCTGTCCTCAGGTGCAGCTGAGCCCAAGACTTCTTCATAAGTCTCTGTCCTGAGGCTCTGCTTCCGTCTCACATCTCTTGGATTCAGTGGTTTGCATCATACACAATGAACAAGAAATGCTTGCTAAGAAGTTCCTTGGAGGTTTTTTGGTTGGTTGGTTGGTTGGTTGGTTGGTTGGTTTTTGGAGCCAGGCTCTTGCTATGTAGTGCAGGCTGGCCCTGAACTCACTATGCAGCTCAGGCTGACCTCAAACTCACAGAGATCCCTCTGCCTCACTCTCCCAAGTGCTAGGATTACAGGCATGCACCACCACATCTAGCACCTTGGTGACTGTTTTAAAGTTATCCAGATGCTAGTTTCCTACCCAGGCCTGGAGCATACATCTGGAATCCTAGCACTCAGGAGGCTGAGGCAGGAGGAATGCCATGACTTCAAGGCCACCCTGAGCTACATAGCAAGATCCTGTCTCAAAAAAAAAACCCAGGGATTTAGCTCAAGGGATTTAGCGCAAGGACCCGAGTTCAATCCCCAGTACCAAAAAAAAAAAAAAGACATGGTGAAGGCCTGTAATCCCAGCATTCTGGGAGACTGATGCAAGAAATCCCAGACTCAAGCCCAGCCTGGGTAATTAATTTAGTGACTTAGTTAGACCCTATCTCAAAAAAGGATGAAAGGGGATAAATGGGCAGGAGTGCCGGGGATTTAGCTCAGTGGTTCTGCCACCTTCCTTGCAAGCGGAAGGACCTGAGTACGATCCCCAGTACAAAAAAAAAAAAAAGTTAAAGAAAATGTTTAAAAACAAAACAACAACAATAAATGGGCAGGGGATACAGCTCAATGCAAAGGCCCTAGAAAAAATAAATCACCAAGATCAGAACAAGAAAAGAGGAGTTTATTCAGATCAGAGTATACTGTCAAGAGGGACAGCAAGCAGACTTCCAAGAGACAAATGACTCACACAGTCAGGGTTCAAGGATGTGGAAAAAGAGTCTGGGCAGCAAGCCCATGTATCTTGTATGAGTCATAGGCAGCAAGCCTATGTACCTCAGGAGTGCTTTTTCTAGGTTGCCTGGCTCCTGCTCATTCCTCTGGAACCCTGTGTTCCTGTGTCTGAAGTGGATCATTAGAGTTGCTGATTGAGGAGGCCATTTACTCTGCCCCCAGATGCCTTTAGTTTCACACGAGGATATCTATCCATGTCAACTCCGGAGACCAGATCGGTTGGAACTTGCTGGGAGGAATGAATAGGTCTTTGATTTATTTTTGTATTTATCTTGTGCTGTTTCTATCAGTGTTAGGGCAGTGTGGTGTGACTTCCCTGTATACATTAGGAAAAGAAAAACTTGCATAAATATTTTAATACTAAATATTGGGGCATCTTGAGATTAATACAAGTTACCTTTGGCCTTCATAATTACAAGAGGTGCCATTACAATTACACAGTTCCAAAGTGGTGGCCATGAGCTTCCAGACATTTATTAGTATGGTAAACTGCTGAAGTGGGTATACATTATTTTTGGCACACTCTGTGTGCGCTGAGCAGGATTGTGTGCACAGAGAAATTTTAACCCTTTGTCACAACAAGTTCCCATTCTACCTCTATGGCTACTCTTTTTTTTTTTTTTTCTTTTTTTTTGAGACAGAGTCTTGCTGTGTAGTTCAGAGTGGCTAGCCTTGAACTCACAATGATCCTCTTGTTTCAGCCTCCAGAGTGCTGGGATTATAGGTGTGCCACCATGTCCAGCCAGGCCTATTCTTTATATTGTTCATATTTCTAAATATAACATATCAACTTTACAGTTGATTTCTTTTGTTGTTTGTGTTGTTTTGGTTTTTTTGGTACCAGGACCTTGCACTTGCAAGGCAGGTGCTGTGTCACTGAGCCAAATCCCTGGCCCTTATAGGATTTCCTTTTCTTTTTTTCTTTTGGTTTTTGGTACCAGGGATCGAACTCAAGACCTTGTGCTTGCGCAGCAGGTGGCGAAACCACTGAGCTAAATTCCCGGCCCCAGGATTTCTTTTAAACAAGTGCACCTTTAAGATGTTCTCGCTATTCCAAGAAATCACAGGGAGGGAAACTTTTGTACTCAAAGTATACAAATGGCCAAAGGCTAATGATACAGTTGAAAATACAGTTCAAGAGGACATTCTGGAAATAAAGAGAGTCAGAATGAATAAGTTAAAATTAAATTGAAAGGAGAGCTTAGTCCTGTAGTTTGTGCCTATGATCCCGGCTACTTGGGAAATTAAGGCAGGAAGATAACTTGACCTGAGGAATTCAGGGTCAGCCTGGACAACATAGTGAGACCCTGTCTCAAAAAAAAAAAAATTCAAAGGGGAAGAAAACAAATTAGATATATATTTGAAAGAACTTATGTATTGTTAAAAAAAAGAACTTATGTATTGTTTAGAAGAATAAGGAGAACTATAGGCATTAATCCAAGATTCACACTTTGAGGGAATAAAATATTAGGAGCCTTTCTCTTTTTTTGGTACTGGGGATTGAACTCTGGACCTTGCATTTGTGAGGCAGGTGGCGGAACCACCAAGCTAAATCCCTGGCCCATAAGACCCTTTCTGATAGTGGTACATTTATCTTTTAGCACAAAGGACTGTGATGAGCTAAACTGTGTGTGGCCTCAAATTCACATGTTGAAGTCTCAACACTCAGCACCAGACTTCTGGGAAGATGGCAGAGTGGTGAACAGCAGAGAAACAGCCTCTGTGAGATTTGGTGTCCAGATGCTGGAACATGGTAACGTGTGAAAGAGAAGGAGAGAAATGGGTCCCTGGGACCCAGCAAGGATCTGAAGCAAGAATTGAAGCCCATGAGGAGAGTGAAGAGAGAGATCTCAATGCAGAAGAAAGAGATGCCAAGTAACACTTTCTCCCTGAGCCCTGACTCACTGTGTGGGAGAGGTGGCTTGATCCTACAAATGCACAGTGACTACTGATGACACCAGAAGTCTCCTTGGAGAAACATGCCAATGGAAGGGAGCAATGGATGCAGCAGACTGCAGTGGTTGCTGAGTTATTCAGGTTGAGACGCACTCCCAGGAGAGGACTATTGCCTGGTAGCTGTCTTGGAGAGGCCAAATGAGCTCAGAACTCAGAGCAGCTTCGGGATGGCTCTATCTAGCAGCTCCCAGTGTCAGAGTGAGGTGGAACCAAGTTCAAGTTGGCAGAAGGTCAAGGAGCTGAGTTTAGGCTGGCAGGGAGTCAATTTCAAGCTGTCAGGAGGCACATGGAGTGTTGTAGGCTGAATAAATCAGGTTCCAGCCTCACTGCCAGAAAGCAGCCTGAACTTCAGTGGAATGAAAAGTGCAGGCTTGCTGGGATTATCCACTACCCCACCATAATTCTACAGCTGGCTTACTGGGATTAATCAACACAAATCTGGGCTCTGTCTACTAGTGACAGTAAAGACATGCCCTGAACTGGAGATTTTTTTCCCTTCTTTTTTTCTTTTGTTTTGTTTTTTCTTGTTTGTTCTTATTTTTATATAAATGTGAACATCGTTTCTAGTATTTTGTTGTTGTTGTTCTGTTCTGTTCTTCTGATTTCTTCCTTCTCTCTTTCCCTCCTGTCTTCTTCACCAGTTTTCCAAAGTTTGCGTAATCTTCCTTTGTCCTCTAGCCTTGCTTCTAATCTCTTCCTCTTCTTCTATTTCTCTATTTCCCTCCCGCCCCCAATCCCTTTTAAATTTTCTCCCCTGAGGGAAAAACAAAAATCTCTCCCCTGAGGGTAAAATCACCATACTGAGGGCATATTTACAGTATACAATTTCCTGGTTTCTTTTAGATTTTGTTGTATAATCACTAATACAGTTCATATGGTTAAAGCTGGCAAATTAATAGTTACCACAATATGTATCTAGGCTGTGTTTGATGCTATTGTTATTGCTGATTGTACTACTTTAGCCAAGATGAAGTAATTGTTCTAATCAGTTGTTCTTCCTGGTATGCCAAAACAGATTGCCTAAGAGTGATAAACAATACTATAGGCCAGGGGCTAGGCCAATTAGGCAGCAACTTCTCAACCCCAATAAATTGAAGAGGTAGGATCTTGCAACAGACTGAAAACCCAAAAGCCAGCTATACCTGGAGGACAGCTCTGAGAAGTAGTCATTTCCTAAGGGTTCTAAATACTAGCACTAAAGCTACCTGCTATAAGCAATTTTCAAGCATCAACCCAGGAATTAAATTAAGAGAAAAGTAGAAAATGAGAAGACACTTAAGCAAGATGCAACCCCAAGGGGCCGGGGATTTAGCTCAGTGGTTCCGCTGCCTGCCTTGCAAGCACAAGGTCCCAAGTCCAATCCCTGGTAA